CGGTCCTAAGGAAGGAGGGGAAACGAGGATAACCGTGTAGAAAACAACACTGCGGCATTCGCTGGGGCGGTTTGGTTCGATGTAACCTAGCCTGTGCTACTGATAAAAAAGCAAACTTGAAGTCGGAGATGCTGAGCTATAAAATATTTGAGTTCCTTATTGGTGCTGAAGGCTACTGCTGATTTATCTTAGATTTGTGGTAAAGCATGACAATGCCGTAGTATTCAACTAGAATGGAGCTAGCAGGTTGCTGCATTTTAATGGACTGTGGTTTCCAGTGATGTTATTACTGTTATCGTTGTTATCATTTTCTTGCCGGGAAGAGCCTAAGCCCTGTCAGAACAGACCATTTTATCAGCAGAGATTTGTTGGTGCTATGGGCAAGAAAGTGGCCCATGATAGAAAGGAGCGTCCCATTAAAGTCAGTAGCACTTAAGTCACCGAGAACGTGTACATAAATAAAGCAGGGTTTGACTCCACGCGTACAAGAGTTTCAAGACTAGCCAGTGGTTTTTCCTGGGCGCCAGGACAGCGTTTGATCTCCTGAGGTGGAGGTTGGCCAAGGCCAGGACACCACGCAGCAGGTACCGCTTGCCGGCTGGATCCCACCCTTCTCCTCCTCTGCCTCGCCAGCTTTGCGGCAGCGCGTCGCAGTTGGGAACGGGTACCTCGGTCGCTCCTCTTGGCTAAATGGTTTTGTGAACTGAAATGGCGTACATCGTAAAGCCTGGGGTAACCTTGTTAGTCCTTACATGGTCCCTGTGGAAGGGGGAGGGAGGGGATGCTCTGCTCGAGGACATGTGCCAATGGAAGATAAAGCACGCATGAAAGCCAGGGAAGGCATTGGGGACTGGATTATTCCGCAGTTGATGGATTGGTGTTAGATGGTTTCTCATGGTTTAATTTCAATACTTTTTTTTTTATTCTCCTTCTCTTTTTCCAAATTTTTTGCCCTGGCTGTTGCTAAAACATCTGTTGCTTGTCCTCAAGGCAATGAATCTGCAGGGCTTTGTCTTGCTCCTCCAGTTTTGTCCATACCAGACAGACCTGCTTCAGCAAGTAATGGCAGATGTGAGCTGGAAAACAGCAAGGACCAGTTTCTGTGCAGTGTTGCACCTGTACCCCGTTGTGTGAACCATTTGCCCTTCTGCCGCAATCAAACGAGCCAACTTAAATTGTGCTTTAGACAGATGAGTTTGTCTTTGCATGGATAGAATCATAGAATTGTTTAGGTTGGCAAAGCCCTTTCAGATCCCCCAGCCCAAATGTTCCCCTACCCCTGCCCTCCCACCCCCAAACCCTGGCCCTCAGCACCACTTCTGCCCGGCTGTTAAATCCCCCCAGGGGTGGGGACTCAACCCCTTCCCTGGGCAGCCCCTTCTAGTGCTTGACAACCCTTTGGGGAAGAAATTTTGCCCAGTGTCCAACCTAAATCTTCCCTGGATAGGAGCAAGGAGGGAGCTTGCCCAGCCCAGGAAGGCTGGGGGGAGGTGAAGAGCTGGTTTGTACCAGCCCGTGGCTGATGGGGAGCAGCAGGTCGCTGCAGAGGATGAGCTCTCCTCTTCCCTGCCTTCCCAAAGGGCTGAAGTTTGAGCTAGAAGCTACCATTGTCCAGATCTAGGGCTGCGTTCAGCAAATTAGGACACGGAGCTGAGCTCAGATATGACCTGAACTGGCAGCCTAGCATATGCTTTATGTATGTATTTTAGAATAAAATGGGGAAAATACAGGCAAATAATGTCCATGTGTGAGGAATACAGATTCTGGCTGGTTTCTCTCCCCTCTGGCATTTGGTCAGAAGCATTTTGCCGGCGTGGCACTACGTTAGCTGGCAGTTCTCACATCCCTTTCCTTGCACTTCACTTCTTTTTTCCACTTATACCTGCAGCACCCCGTGCCTAGGCTGCACTGAACCGGTCCCGTGTGTGTTTTTGTGTTTAATAACGGGGAACAACAGAGCCCTACCACCCATTGGGGCCCCTGGGAATTGCCGGAACGCAAATACCGCTGCTGCTAAACGGTTACTTATACACAGCGATAGCCGGTGATTTAGGGTTGCCTGCTAATGTTCCATAAAATGCCAACTGGGTCTGCGTTTCTCCAGTTGGTATTTGCCTCTGCCTGCATTTCTTCCAGTTTAACGGCCATAGAGAGTACGCTGTGCTCAGTTAATTCATTTATTGCGCTGTATTTCAGGATTGGACTTCGACATGCTTTTACCAAATTTGTCTCATAAAAAAAAAAAACCCTCACGTGATTCAAACGCTTTGCTGGCCTACAGATACATTAGTAAATCTGTCAAGCCCAAATTATGAACTGGTTTTAGTGGCTTTCCCGAGGAAGCCACTGATTGCTTGGAGGTAGGGGCGACGGTAATTTTGCTGGTTTAAATGATGGGGGAAAAGAGGGTGGAGGCTGAGTCTTAATGTGGGGGAAAAGCATATTTAAATAGAGCTCCCATAAATAAATACATACTACAGGCTTATGAGGAATTGATTATTTTAGAAAAATATTGCTACCTGTAATGGTAAAACAATTATATCCTGATTTCTTATGCGTTCCGCTGTGTAGCGTGTGATGTCTTCCCTAATACGGATCATACACTGTTGCAATTTGTCTTTGAAGACAAATTAAAAAAAAAAAAATAAAGCCAATTTAATTAAAAAAAAAAATAAAATGGCAAATTCTTGTATTTTGGGCATAATTTTAGTAACGAAGGGTGGGGGGGTATTGACTGGTTGTCCTTAACCTTTAGCTTTGTGATCCTTATGACCAGCAGAAAACACAGGCTTTTACGCAATAAGGGGAAGGATGGAGCCAAAATGAAAGATCTAAAAAATGTGAAAGTAAGTTGAAAAGTGTTAGCCAACTGAGAAAAATAATTTAACATCCCATTTAATGTCTCATTTAAGTCTCATATTATTTCTGACAATGTGGTTTGCTGCATGACTTTGAGTTTCCGGATGGGCACCGCAGTATCGCGTGTAATCTGTCAGAATTGCTTTTCCAATTAATTTGTTCTCTCTCCACCTTCCTCTAGTTTTTTTTTTTTTCCTGTCAGGTAAAATATCTGTGTGGCTTTATATCCTCACGTGAAGAGGACGTAAGAAGGAAGGAGTTGAGTGTTTGAGGCTACGTGTTGTCCCGTGGGTGTGTGTATGAGGTGTGCTGTCTCCAAGCACGTTGCTGGTCCCCGTTGGCCCATGGTCAACCATGGGCTGAGGGAAGTTCCCACCTTCCAAGGATGCTGTAGGGACAAATACAGTCACGTCTGCGGTGCTCAGATCTCACTGTGACAAACCCACCGGGAAGCGGGTATGATAAATAAAGTTGGTGGATATGCTTTGAACCTTCTTAGTGGCTGGAATGAGACAAGACAGAACTGAAGTGTGCTTTCGTGCAGCGTGTCTGGTTTAGAGAAAAGAAAAACTTTTAGGGTTGTGTGGTTGTTTTTTTTTTCCTCAGTGTCTTTTGAAGTATGTTGCAGCGCTTGAGAGAACGAATGCCTCCTTCGGCATGGTTAAAGCTATCAAGGACTGAGCTGCTTCACATCCCGTGGGTTTGCATCCAATGTCTAACCATCCTGTTGGTCTCATCTTTATTAATGATGTAACGTATTTCCAGCCCATGCTTGTGGAGTCAAAAGCTTGATAGTGATACTCTTGAAAGCTTGTCCAAACAGGGTTCCCTGACTTGTAGAGTCCCTTTAATCACTGGCGGCGTGTCCTGCCCCTGGGGAACCGCAGTTAGCTTTAGCAGAATAAATGGCTTTCAAAGATTTGCACCAGGCAAGAGCTGTGAAAATGGCTGCCCACTGAAACAAACCCTAAAAGCATAAAAGAGCTGCAAGTAAGTAAAATGGAGAGCAGCCAGAACTTCTCGGGTGTTGCATTTGCGTCTTCTGCTCCAGTGTTCCCCGTCTCCTTCATTTATTTATCACTGGTTGGCACAATCCTCTCTGCATCTTAGAATCACAGAATCATTTGGGTTGGGAAAGCCCTTCCAGATGACCAAGCCCAACCATTCCCCTGCCCCTGCCATCCCACCACTAAACCCCGTCCCTAAGCCAGCTCGGCTGCCCGGCTGTTAAATCCCCCCAGGGGTGGGGACTCGACCCCTTCCCTGGGCAGCCCCTTCCAGTGCCTGACAGCCCCAAGGGGAAGGAATTGTTCCCCATGGCCAACCTCACCCTGCCCTGGCACAATTTGAGGCCATGTCCCCTTGTCCTATTGCCCGTTACCTGGGAGAAGAGACCGACCCCCACCATCTTCTCCCAAGGAACCCCAGTGCTTGGGCTCTCTGGCCTCTTTCTCTGCGTCCAGGCACTTAAGAGCCACATATACCTTGCATGCTTATACATCGCACCCTGCGTGTGTGAGATGCCCTATGCTTGCACTCGATGAGTTAAAATAAATTTCTCCTTGTGCTTCTGAAGCTTTTGACATCTCTGATGAATCTTTCTTCTTGCAAAGGGTTTGCTCCACTGTCTGTCCCAGTCCTTGAGAAAGTCTGGGCTCCAGCACAAGTGAGATGAATGTCTGCTGGAGATGAGTGGTATTTGACAACTGAGAGTTTTGAATTGATCTTTTCTTTAAATAGATATCATGACCCCGTGCCATTAAGTGCCTCCAAACTAGAGGGCTGAAGCCTTGAACTTGATTTGATCTTCTATGGATAGGGGAGGAGGGAGCAGCAAAAAGACACCTTTGGCTGTGAGCTCCTTTAGTAGCAATTTATATATGTTTTGGCTCTTCAAAACACTGTGGAAGGGTAGTCCATGAACTGGATTAGGGGAGAGGAAGGGAACATAACAGAAACGTGGTCTGTGCTGCCTAGGCAGAATCTGTTCTTCATGGCAGCAGAGTCCTGCCCCTCCTTCCTCTGAACAGATTGACCTTCGATTTGTCACAACTGGTCTGTCGCATCAGAAACACCGACTTGCCTTTGTTGGAGAATAAACCACAGCTCATGCCACGCTAGACATTTCGGATTTCTGAAAGATGAGGCTCAAAGCCGACAGCCAGATTCAGAAGCTGCAATGGATAAGGTTTGCACGGTACGAGAGGTTTGCGGTGGTCTTACAGACCGCAGTGACCCTGACCGCATCTGTCGGAGGAACTAGCGATGTCGTGCCGTGCAAGCCTCGCTCGGGTAATGGCTTCCCGGTGCATTTGGTGTCGTTTCGACGGGGTTTCAGCTCTGTTGTTCCGTGGTACCGCTCAGCTCAGTGCTGGCGGCGGCGGCGGCCCAGGAGCGATCCCTGCTCGTTGGTACTTCCTTCCTCCAGAGCTGGGGATGCCTCTGTTCCTGCTTGAAGACTCTTGGTTTATTGGAAGGTGTGGCTGGATTTACACCTACTTACTCTGAAGGTCTTTTCAAGGTGGTCCTGAAGTACTTTAAATGAGGCAAGTCACAGAAATAGGATGTTACATTTGTAGACTGTTAGGTCAAGAGATTGCTGGTCCGCTCGGGGCATCTTAATACTGCGGTGGGTTATGAAAGCAAAGTCATTGCTCCAAGTGCAGGGCTTTAAATTTACTGGACTAAGCGATGTTAGCACCAGTGAACTCCCAGTGCACGGCGCACAAATGAGAGCGCCTACATTTTTTATTGTTTTAATTAGGGATTTTGAATTACGGCCCTTTTTAGGTCCTTCAGCAGTAAAAAAAAAAAAAAAAAGCCTATTTCCTTGTTGTTTATTTCCTGTTTGAGGAGCAGATTTGATGATTTCATTGGCGACTGGCGGGAAGCCTGTGCTGCTGGCTGGCTGCAAGCCACGAGCGCTGGCAAGAGCGGCCGACGGGAAGATGAAGAGATTTACACCCTCTGATTTGTGTATTAACAGGGGCCAAGCGGTAGGTGGGCTTGGCGGCGGACGATAAAAATTTAGGGTAGTATTTCTTTTCCCCCATGCAGGTGTATTGTGCCACTGTGAATGGCAGGGTGTTACTGAGCGTATCACGTAGGCTCGTTAATAAATACGAGCGGTTTCGTTGCTTTGAATATCTCCTGCGCTTTTTCCCCCTTCTCATTGAGAAATCGGTAAATAGTCTTAAGCTGAAAACCGTGGCTGTGTCTTGTAGAAATTGAGATTGGACCGAAATCCAACGCACTGAGTGCATTGCCATGGAGAGGTACAGGCGGGGAGCTCCGGAGACTTCGTGTTTTGCCGGTGGCTCTAGGAAGGTCATCATTTCAAGCCGTGATCTTGAAGAATGACAAATTTGGTTCTCATGAACTCTGCAATGCTGAAAAAGCCGTATAATGAAGAGAAAAGCAATCTCGAGGGTTGTACTCGAATGATTCAGTTAAAACGGAAATTTTTGTTGTTCCGAACGTATCCTGCGTGGTTGGGGGATGCTCAGGCCCAACAGCTTTCTGCTAGTGCTTCGAATCAGATGGAAAGATCTGCGAAGACTAAGCAGAACTGACCATGAAGGCATTGAATCCTTGATGAAAATCCCCCTACAGCATAAATACACGTGGATGGGAAAAAATAGATTGTTTCCATGCGTTATGCAGAGCGAAGCCGGCAAGCGAGCCGCATGAAAGGTGACAAGTAAATTAGATTTTAAAATTCTTGCAGTTTTGATAATCTGAGCTGACATCAGTAATGCAGGTTAGGGAAAAGTCGTTTTTCTGAAAAATAAGTTCATTTATTTCCTGTGATAGGTAAGAGGCATCAAAGGGCAGATCCTGGCTCCATCTTCCTTCAGCCAGCCTTTCTTGGCGGAATTAGATTGCTGCGAAGAACCGATGCTATAATATTTGTAATGGACTCTACACACCAGGAGAGAATTGCTGTACTGGAGGAGGTCTTGATGTGCTCCCGTACCAGAAAAGGGGAAATTTTCTTCCTATGTAGGATGTTCTGAATTGTCTATTCATGAGTTATGGTTTCTCTCTCATCAACGGCGAGTTCAGCAGCACTTGTGTGACCGTGTCCTCGTGAGGGAAGGGTGGGGGGGAGGAATAGATGGCTTCTGACCTTCCCCTCTGTGTGGGTTAAGAGGAGACATGGTGGCTCTCCTGGCATTATATGAGGAAGCTGGCCTAACGGTAAATTCATCGGGATTAAAACCTGAAAAGGTGAGGATGCCTGGGGAACTGAGGCGCTTCTGTGGCTAAGTAGCATCAGGGTTGGAACACAGCTTTAAGTGTTCGAGCCTAAACTCTCCCCTAAATTCTCTCTTATATGTCTATTTATATTTGTATATATATTATATAGCTTAGGGCCAGGGTTTGGGGGAGGGATGGCAGGGGTAGGGGAACGGTTGGGCTGGGGGATCTGAAAGGGCTTTTCCAACCTAAACAATTCCATGATTCTGTATATATATACGCTGCTGCTTTTACAGTCAACTATAAAATCTGTGCCTCCTTGGTTTTTCTTTTTTTTTTTTTTTTTTTTTTTTTTTTTTTTGACTTGGTTATCAGTTGGCCCAGTACAGAGATTCCCTCCAGAGCTGTGCTACTATTTGAGGTCAGCTAAATTCTCCTCCTCCCCGCAAAAGGGCTGCAGAGAGAGAATTGCAGGGACTGCCCCTTTCAGTTTTCACGGAGGATCTCCGAGGGCTATCTAAAACCTAGAGGACTTCACAGCAAGAACATCAAGATGCATTTGCCAGAAGGATAATTGAATGCTAAGTACAAGTTGCAGAAATAATTGTCTCGCCCTGAAACGCATAGGCTAAAAAAGCGATCGTCGTTTGGCTCTCCTGAAATAAGGCCAAATGCTTTGTTTGGCTTGGAGTTTGGGATGAATCTGGCACAAGGCAGGATGAGTCACTCCTCAATCCCAAAGCAATGAGACACACGCTAAGAGGACAGCAGAAAAGCATGTTAAGTAGATATATTTTTTGACACTTTTCTAATGAAGATCAAACATAAAAGTGTCTGTTTAAACTCTTCCTTTGTTGTTTTCTTCTTAGGGCATCTGGTGATGGTGGTCCCCAAATTTTCTTTTCCAGGAGTACATTTTCAGTCCCTCTTCAGTAGAGCCCACAGCCTTGAATTGTGCTTCAAGCTCATTCCCTTACGAGGATTTTTTTCCTTTCTGCTCAAAACCAGAGAACTCAGCATGAACCCAACCTTCCCTTCCCTCCTGGGCTGTCCCCAAACTGTGTTCCACTTTGTGGGTACCCCAAAAGAAACTCCCACTCAGTTTTTATAGGAAGGAAATTGGTATATTTAGAGAAGAGCTTGGGAAAGCCTGGTTTGAACCCTTGCCTACCTTGGAGTTCTCCTGTGACCTTGAGCGAGCAAGTCAGTGACTATAGAGCTTCCAAAAGTACCTAAAAAGCCCGAGGAACTCTTCTCAGTTAGAAGCTGCCACGTTTTATAAGCCAGTAGGATGCCAGTTTCTGCGGCTTTGCTGCCTTTCAGTATTTTAAACTCTTAGAGACTCAGTTCCTCGTCTATGAAATTGGAATGGTATTATCTCTTGTTTACATAATACAAACTAAAGACTGATGATGCACTTGTATTTTGTATGTATATATGCATACATATATAAAATAGTTGAAATAATTGTGTACATAAGTCTGTAACTCGCTGGACTTTGGTTAATCTGGAGCTGTTTGGACCTGGCTCCCGCTGCGCTTCGTAAGTAATTACTTGGATCTCGATACACGGTTTTAATGCCAAGGCCGTGTTGATCCTTATCTCCTGCAGACAGGGCCATAGACCGGCGTCACCCTTGTTGAAGGCTGACTACTTAAATCAAACTTCCAGACTTTAAACTGTTTCTGTTCTCCCTTTGGTTGCGGCTCCTGGATGCTCAGCGGCGCAGGCAGCTGCATTTCAGCATCTCCTGCGATGGTGGGTTGCTGCAGAAATAACACCCAAAACCCAGGGAAAAGAAAAGATAGCAAATTAGAGTTGTTATAAGTTTAGTTCTGAGGATGCAGTGTTGCTCTCTTTCTCTGAAATTCTCAGATACTTTTCAATATCTTATCTTTTGATGGAATGATTTAGGATACAGTTGATACGCCATGTTGACAGAATCATCATTACCCATAACTTAACGTTCTTTCAAGCAGCCATATTAACTTCTAGTTAAGTTTGCTTACTTGCATCTCCAGTCAGGAGAAATCAAGGCAATGATAAGCTCATATCCTAAATCACACGCATCAGAGTCCAGTTTCCCTGTTTCATGGAGAATTTGAATGCGATGTGACCTACCAACGGGGGGACAGTGTCCGTGCGTTGCAGTCGGAATTGTCCTAGTTTGTGTTCAAGGGTGAAGTTTCGCAGGATTCAGATGTGTTCTGCATAGCCAGAATACTGAGTGTGCTTCGGATTTAAAAAAACAGAAGGAATAAAAGGTCATCCTGCCTTATATGTAGTAGTCATGAGCTCTTAATTGATTAATCCTATCTGAGTATTAATGCGATCAATATGTAGTCACCTAATTTAGGTGACCCCCGTGGGTTCCCCAGCCAGGTGAAGACAAGAGTGGAAAGCCCCACGCTCTGCACTTGACTATGTAGGAAGCCTTGGGAGATGGGCAGTCTAATTTAGGCGTAAAGGACAAATGCTCCCACATTAACGATGTTTATATATTTTTAGCATAGGTACGTGAATTTGATGAAAATTGAGCGCTAATAAGAAAAGATCACCCACGGGATCCTGTACATCGTGCCAACGGCTGAAGCAAAGAGAGCAGCTGGCAACTGGGGCTGTCAAGCAAATTAGCATCTCCTTGCTAAGATTTTGTGTTCCCTCTAGCGTACTTGGAGTATAGTCCCAGCTGGTGGTTGATCAGTATTATCTGACAAATTCAGCTCCTAGCAGGATGATGAAGCATTTCCAATGTCAGACACAAGTTTGAGGAGCAGTTGAACTTTTCTCCTGTTGAAAATAGGTAACAGTAAATTGGCCTGTGACTACTTGATGGTGTCATCTTCTGGCCTTGTCTGCTCTTGAAATACCGGCCGGCTTTCCATCCTCGGCGTCTTGGGTGGCGAGGCACCTTCCTCTCCTTCACTTCACACCGAGGTGCCCTTTGTGGCAAATTGGTTTGACTTCCATCTATATAAAGCTTAACTGCCCAAATTTCATAGATAAAAAATGCAAAGGAGTAAAATATCTTATTAATATTCATTTTATTGTAACATTAAAATCCTTCCCTTTGAATCCTTTCCATTAGGCTGACAGCCGGTACTAGGAGTGGCTGGCTGGTACCGGACTGCAGGAATTCCCTGCCTGGTAATAACTTACAGAAATATTGCTAAATGCATATTGGTAACTTTTTTTTTCTCCCCAATTATGTGGGGAGGAAAATATGTGTTTACCCGGACTTCAGCAAAGCCTTTGATAGAGTCTCCCACAGCATTCTCCTAGAGAAGCTGGCGGCTCATGGCTTGGACAAGCATATTCTTCGCTGGGTAAAAAAATCAGGCTGGATGGCTGAGCCCAGAGGGTTGTGGTGAATGGAGTTAAATCCAGTTGGCAGTGGTAACAAGTGGTGTCCCCCAGGGCGCAGTTCTGGGGCCAGTTCTGTTTAACATCTTTATCAATGACCTGGATGAGGGGATCGAGGGCACCCTCAGTCACTTTGCAGGTGACACCAAACTGGGTGGGAGTGTGGATCTGCTGGAGGGGATTTCTGGTTACATGTACTGCAAAACAAATTCTCAGCAAGGAAAAGCAGATGAAAGAGATCTCAGCTGACTGCCTCATTTTTATAACTGTATAAAACCTGTTATTTGCACACCTAGAAAATGAATAGAGAACAGCATGGTGGTGAGTGATGGACATGCATAACTTCAGATGAGGAGAGTGTCTCGGAGGAAAATCTTCCCATAAAGAACTCCCAGACAGTTATTTGCTTTATGCCGGTGGCTTCTCACAGATCCACCCTGCAGATATTCACGAGATATGTGGAGGGATTGTTTTATTCTAGCAGGTGAAAGATCAGATAAAGACGGGCCTGGAATAATCAACGTGTGTATACAGTAAAGTAATTATTAGCTACGTTCCTGCAGTAAATTCCTTGCTAGAAATATGTTCAGCTCAGGAAGACATCCCCTCCCAGAGACTGGTAGAAGTGCTGTAAATCAGTCTTTGCAGCAAAGAAAACGTTCTCTTAGGCGGCATAACCAACCAGTACCTGGGCTGCTTGTGCTGCCACGCAAGGAAGGGGCTGCCCAGGGAAGGGGTCGAGTCCCCAGCCCTGGGGGGATTTAACAGCCGGGCAGCCGAGGTGCTGAGGGCCAGGGTTTGGGGGTGGGATGGCAGGGGTAGGGGAACGGTTGGGCCTGGTGATCTGAAAGGGCTTTTCCACCCTAAATGATTCTATGATTTTCTTCTTAAGCAGAAATCTGAGCGTCCAGCTTTTAATCAGTTTAATCTGTGGGATGTACGGCTTCCAGTCCCATAGGATGGTGTTTGCAAGAAGGGCTGCAGATTATTTAGCTCCCATTTCTATGAACAAACCTTAACGCCACGCCTGTACTTGGATTATTCGGTGAAGTCTGGAGGTCTTGTTCCGATGCTTCTGCTGTGCGTTTCTCGGTGCAAATCTTTTCAGAATTGTAAATGGGAGCTAGCAAACGAAACAGAACAGAGAAGAACTAAGGTATAGCACCTTTTTGGAAACCAGCCTTTGGAAGAGAGAATTAGACAGCAGTTTTGAAAATATTTACATTTCCAGATTCACTCACCCATGCACGCTCTTTCCCATTTTCTGAAGCAAGCAGAAGGAAATCGCTCTTTTTCATTACCTTGGTTTCTTGCCCTTCAGCTATTATGTGAATTGAAAGTTGGGGGGGGGGGAAGGTCTTGTCTTGATGTTAAGTAACCTTGCAGACTTTAATTTGAAACAAACAAAGCATTTAAAGCAGTTCTTCTCCGGGGGATTGTACTGAGTGCTACTAAATTGCTGAATATTTAATAGCTAAACATGTTCCAGACCCTGAGGTCTGTCCCCCAAATGATAAGCCTTTTTATTAAGTGAACTTTAATTGCTTAATAATTGGGTCTTCTGTAAGGAAAGATGGGGAGCCTGATAGGCTGCCAACCAGAGCGCGCGTGGTAAATCGGAGCTGGGTACCGCTTCCAATTAAGTTTCCGAAGGAGGTTTGGGTGTAATGCAGGGAGGTGCATCTGCCACCCCTTGGCTACAGCGCGAAGCGTCACCGAGGCTCTGCAATGTTCAATTCCAGAGTCTGTGACTTTCCCGGAATGTATTTGCTGGTCCGTTCCCTTGAGCCAGCTCCCAACAATCTGAACATCTGTGTAGCTTCAAAACCTGTCTCTAAAATAAACCAGGAGAGCTGTTAAAGACCCAGTAATAGTTCTAAGATCTCTTATAATATGGTCCTGCAGAGAGGTGAACAAGTTTTGAACCCATGCACCAGTGCAGGCTGGGGCCTGACCTGCTGGGAAGCAGCTCTGCCAAGAGGGACCTGGGAGTCCTGGGAGACGACAAGCTGACCATGAGCCAGCAGTGTGCCCTTGGTGCCAAGAAGGCCAATGGCATCCTGGGGTGCATCAAGAGGAATGTGGCCAGCAGGGCGAGGGAGGTTCTCCTCCCCCTCTACTCTGCCCTGGTGAGACCCCACCTGGAGCTCTGGGTCCAGTTCTGGGCTCCCCAGTTCAAGAAAGATGAGGACTCCTCGAGAGAGTCCAGAGGAGGGCAACAAGGATGATGAGGGGACTGGAGCATCTCCCCTAGGAGGAAAGGCTGAGGGAGCTGGGCTTGTTCAGCCCGGAGAAGAGAAGGCTGAGAGGGGATCTCATCAACATGTACAAATATCTCAAGGGTGGGGGTCACGAGGACGGAGCCAAACTCTTCTCAGTGGTGCCCAGCGCCAGGACAAGGGGCCATGGGCACAACCTGAAGCAGAAGAGGTTCCAGTTGAACGGGAGGAAGAACTTTTTGACTGTGAGGGTGCCCGAGCCCTGGCCCAGGCTGCCCAGGGGGGCTGTGGAGGCTCCTTCTCTGGAGATCTTCAACCCCCGCCTGGACGCTGTCCTGTGCCCCCTGCTCTGGGTGAGCCTGCTTGGGCAGGGGGGTAGCACTGGGTGAGCTCCCGAGGGCCCTGCCAACCCCTGCCAGCCTGGGATTCTGTGATAACCATGGAAAAAGGTGGTTAGTGTCTTTTGACTGGGACACAACAGAAGGGGTTTTTTTCAATGTCTTGATCTGGTATGCATACGTTTTATTAGGGGTTTTTTTAAGCTTTAAAAGAAAAAGAGGTGGCATACCTGGAGAAAGGGAGATGGTGCAGAGACAGGGCAAAGCATGAGCTGGGATGGGCTGCTATGGAAGAAAAAGTCCCTCCATGGGAATTGTTTTAGTCCTGGTTTTTACAGTAAATTGTTAAATTTTGCTGTCTATCCTCCTGGAGGAGTCTACAGTTTTCAACAGCTTTCCATCACTGTTCACACCGTGTTTATCTTCAATTTTTTTGTTAATCAAAGTGTTGAATGCTTCTATTTTTCAAGCCTGCACCAGCGTTGCTGGGGGTGAAAAGCTGTTACTTATGCATCTGTGCCAATAGCTTGGCTGGAAAGTAGCATCCTCGCTGTAACGGGAACGCGTGCGAGGGCTCGTTGGGAGTGATTGCCGTTTCTTCATGCGCTTTCTTCATAGGGCAATTGGGAAATGCTGCTGCCCACGGAACCGTACGTTCACGTAGGCTCTCTTTTTCTCCTGGAGATGCCATTAGGAAGCCTTTGCTAATCCGGTTTGCCTCTTGCTAAAGGATTTCCCTGCTTCAACTCATGGGAGCGCTTCATCTGGGCTGCAAGATCTCATCCTTTAGATGTTCTGGGAGATGGGAGTGATGTGGTGGGAGGAGGAGAGCTGAGAGAAGAGATGGGTGGCCAAAATCACACCAGAAAATCGGTGTTTGAACTAGGAAATCAACTCGGGGCTCCCACTCCCATTCCTTTTTTGGTACATGATGATCATTTCCCAGTATATTGCTTTTGCTGAACGTTTCAGCAGCATTTTAACGTCTGGGAAGTTGGGGTCTTTATTCTTTGCTTCTTCAGCTTCTTAATAGCCTCTACCAACAGCTCCTTTTTGAAAGCCTTCTCCTGGCTGACATCATCTAAAAGTTGCTTGTTTCCGATATACTTTTGAGTTGCTTTTAGTGTTGTCTTTGAAGTTTTTCGCTCTGTCAAACACTTGGTGCCTGTTCACACGCACTTCTGAGTGATGGCCTTTAGTGCTATGGCCTCAAGTCGTCCTTGCAGGCAGGCGAGTGTGCCCGGCCGGGCTGGGGGCTACTGGTCAGATCATTCTAGGGACTGGTCAGGGCTAGAGCCAGAGCGGGTCCCCAAAATACGTCCACGCCACCTCTAGCACATCCCTGATCCATGCAGTTGCTTCAGCCTATCTTCTTGATTTGTCCTTCTCATACTTGGCCGGAATGAGGGCTAATTTTTTTTTCCCCCTTTTGTTTTCCTTCTTTGCAAGGTTATCTGTACTCTTTGTAAAGCAGCGATGCTTCCAGATAATGAAGTCCACGATCTTGACATCGTCTTTCGCTTGCACTTTGTGTCTTGCAGACCCCGTCCTGTTTTCGCTGACTTTTTCTTCCGTAGCAGATGAAGGACGTGGTCCTCGTGTTTTGCACCGAGGGAGGCTGGGGCGTGTGGGGCTGTGCAATTAAAGCTCCCAGCTCTGCCCTTCTGCTCTTACAAGTCAGCAACATTTCGTGGAAAACCAGACATGGGCCATTCCTCAGTTGAATTATTTGATTGTGTGACCCAAGTAACTTATTTAGCAGAGGGGTTTTTTGGAGGATTTTTCCTTTTATTTGGGGGGGAAGGAGAAATACAGCAAGATACGACGGAAACATTTTCCTGGGCTTACCTGGGTTTCGTTGTGCTTTCCTTTGAATGCCGGCCTGTTCGGAACGGTTTGTGTTGCACGGTAGCGTATTGGTACTTTGTTAAATTTGTTCCTGAGTGGGTTTGTAAGTAAGAGGTGCAATTTTTTTACTCTTTGTGTTGCTAACACATCTTTTCTTTGCTGTTAATGAGTGCAATTTAGAACGGAAAGTGTTAGTCACCCCACCATTATAGCAATCTCCAAGCAGCTTTCAGAATCTCACACTATTTATTTATTTATTTTTTAGTCTGGACTGTTTTTAACAAAATCCAAATCGGCATGGAAGCAGCGTGCAAATTCTGTTTTCAGCAGCTATATAATTGCTTTTTTTTTTTTCTTTTTTGCTTGTGTTTGCAGGACCACTGAGGTTTCTTTCCCAGACAGAATCTGTCACGGCTTTCGCAGGAGACACCATTCTGCTGAAGTGTGAAGTTGTTGGGGAGCCCATGCCTGTGGTGCACTGGCAGCGAAACCAGGAGGACTTGTTCCCGAGCCCGGCCGACGCACGGGTCGCCGTCCTACCTTCCGGAGCTTTACAGATCAGCAGGGTTCAGCACGGGGACAGCGGGATCTACAGATGCCTGGCGAAAAACCCAGCTAGTTCGAGAACTGGAAACGATGCAGAAGTCAGAGTTCTGGCAGGTAAGAACGGGACCCTTCTACCCTACCATTCTGTCTTGTCTGGTCACATCCTTTGGTTCTCTGGAAGAGCAGTCGCTCCTTCTGGGGCAGCCAGGCTGTTTTA